GTTATATAAATAAACTGAATTGAATCTTGAAATCAGTCTTAAATATAAGGATATCCAGTGTGTGCTGTAAAATTATTTTTACGTCGGATATTTTACCTTCATGCTCCGTGGATTCAGCGGTGGCTTCCTCGTTCGAGCCGACGCAGACAGTCTGATTTCTTTCAGCTGCTCTGTCTGTCACTCGAGGAGCGATGGTTCTCTTAGGGACCGTCAACAAATTACCGTATTTCCAGAGTATTTGTCAAAGCAGCCCCATGAATCATAACTAAAGTTTTCTCAGTATATTGCTTCATGGTAATAAATCATGAAGTTTCTCACCATTAAAATCCAAAAGAACATGGAGGCACTTGTGTTTCAAAAGTACTGTAACTTTCTTTTAAAGCATCAAAGTTCATGCTCAGTCATCCAGGTACAAAATACAATAATGGTCAGTCAGGTCATCTGGATAGTTTTTTTTTTTGTGGAAGGACGTTTCACCCTCTATCCAGAGGGCTTCATCAGTCACCAGCAAAACCAGCAAACTGGTCGGTCCACTAAAGGATTGTACTGCTTAGTGGGGAACACAGTTTACTTGGAACTCCTCAGACTGATGAAGCCCTCTGGAAGTGTGTGCTTAGTGTGTTTTAATTAATGTTTTTTTTAGTTCATATCTTAGATCTTATTACTGTTTTTCTTTTACACACATGTTAATACTTTTGTTGGATGGAACTGGGACCCTGTACACAATTTCGTTCCACCACATGCACCACATGTGGTGTGAATGACAAATAAAGAACCTTGAATCCTTGAATGAACTTTGATACTTTACAATAAAGTTACAGTACTTTTGAAACACAAGTGCCACCTTGTTCTGTTGGAGTTTAAATGGTGAGAAACTTCATGATTTATGACCATGCAGAAATATACTGAGAAAACTTATGATACATGGTGCTGCTTTGACTAATACTCTGGAAATATGTCTAAAATATTATAACGGTGTTCAGACCAAGCTCATTAGACCAGTAATTTGTTGACGGTCCCTAAGAGAAGCATCTCTCCTCAGAGGAGGGACAGACAGAGCAGCTGAAAGAAATCAGACTGTCTGTGTCGGCTCGAACGAGGAAGTCACCGCTGAATCCACGAAGCATGAACGTGAAATATTCAACGTAAAAATAAAGTTTAACACTGTGCACACACTGGATATCCTTATATTTAAGAATTGGTTGTCCTTTTGGTTGCTATTTTGTTTTGATTTGTAAAAAAAGAGAGAAACTTAAATTTGTATGCCTATTTTATAACTGTCTATTCTTGTCATTGTTATTCATTGTTGTCATCACTGTTAAGAATTCAGGTCTCTCTTGTAAGTGAGTCCCGGAGGCTCAATGGGATTAACCTGTTTAAATAAAGGTTGAATGAATGATTCCAAAACAAAATCCATGAACCTCAAATACGGGTGTCTGTTCTATTGTTGCTGTTGTCTGTGAGAACTAAAAAGGTTAAATCTTGTCCTGTGGACCCGTTTCTTTGAGGGAGGAACGTTTGTGTCTGTGAGGTAACACTACATACAGTACAGTATTGTGAGGGAACGCAAAATTAAAAAAAAATCCCCCATGTCCCCGCCGGGGCTCAGTTGTGACTTTTTTTAATTTGTTGATTAAAAATAACAGTAATTCACTGTGGATTATTTAAAGAGCTATCAACAACAGGTACAATAATTGATCACAACCTTTCCATTAATCCCTTCTTCAAAAGATCTGAACGGTCCCTTTAATGAGCTGTAATAATATAGAACATGTCGCGTGGAGCTGAATCCTTTTTTGTTTTACTGTGAAGGTGAAGGTGCACTCCAAAGATGAGCTCCATCAGTTGGACGAGCTGAAGCAAACCCAGAGGGCCCACCTGGAGGAGCTCCTGGAGCAGCACTGGAACCCCAGAGGAGACGCCTTCCCTCAGCCTGCAGAGGGTTACAGTCTAGCAGGGGAGGAAACGTCCCAGCACGATAAGGCTGTCCTCTTTGCTCCACACTGGGCTCACAACCTCACCAGTCTTCTAACTGGAGATCAAACTGAGACCCAGGAGAATGTGGAGGTCTTTGATGATGATGGTGTGGAAGTAAAGAGGAAGTTGGGAGGAAACGGAAACGCACAGACACACAGCCCGCAAAGGGAAGAGGACAAATTGAAAATTTCTAAGAGCCACACTGATGGACTCTTCGAGCATGTTACTGAAAGCCCTCCAGACTTGTTCAGCCCGAGTGAGGAACCTCTTATTGAGAGGGTGAGGAGCAGGTTCCGACCCACCAAAGAGCCAAACCCAGACCCGCCAGAGCAGGACAGGAAGAGCGAAAACGAGACTCCCGAGACAGAACGCATGCTTCAGGTCGAGGAGGAAAAATTAGAGGCAGAGAGAAAAGAGCTCCTACTTCTCCACACGAGGTTGGATCAAGAGAAGGAAACGCTGCGACTGCAGAAAATCAAACAGGAGGAGGAGGAGAGAAGGCTGAAAGAAAAGGAGGCCGACAGTCAGCATCACCTGCATGGAAAACATCATCATCTGCATACAACCACGCAGAAACCAGGTGAAACTAGCTCATTCTGATTTATTTTCTAATTTA